TTTCATTTTAATTTGAGTCTGGAGAGCCCGTCGAGGCGATCGCTGCCACCGTTTGACAAAGAGCCAGTCCTCCAGCAACCAGTCCTCAACATGACAAATCCTCAATCTTCTTCGCTCTCTCCCGTTTCTTCTAAACACATGGTTTATGCAAATCAAAGCAAAATGATCTTGGGGATAGCAGCAATGTTTGAGCAATTTGAGGGCTGCCAATAGGAAGTGGCATTAATATAAAATAAGCAAGGGAGGAAAATCTCCGGTGCATATGCGGGTCTCATTGACTGTATCCAAATGAATTTAGCAGAAAGGTTATGAATGACTGTTTGTGGCAAAGTGCAGTCGCTTGTGGTGATATATGAAAGTAGATTCACTCTGCGTGTCACGCTCGCTGTGATAAAGGTCATTTTATCATTTACATACCGTTTTTAATAGAAACCTGTGCGAACCTAGATTTCTCCTGCCTCTTTCTTCATGTTCAACACTAAAATGTAGAAAATGCTAAAATCAAGCAAAACATAATAGCGTCAGGAAGGCAGTTGGATGATTATTATTATTATTATTATTTTTTTGTATTTTGATATTTTAAAATAAAATAAAAAACAACAAAAAAAACTGAAAATAGCAGCCCAAAAAGCCCCAAAATAGTCCTCATTTCTCCTTGTTTTTAAATCCTGAATGCTGGCACAGAGCTAACTGTACTATCAGACTTTAAGGACTCGCAGACAGAATCCATTAACATGTTTAAATGCCACATTTATTAATAGTAAAAAGTTCTGGGACTCAAAAATAAGTACTTAGAAACCCAGAAATATCAGTAGTTTATGATTATTAATAGAGAGAACATTATTCAAAATCTAAATCTTTATTTTGATTTTGGTACAATAAAATCAAAAGGACCATAAAGTCATATGCAGTCCTATTCAGAAAGTGTTTTTCTATGGGCAAAATTTTTAAGCAGAGAATTTCTAATAAATAAACAGTATAAAAATATAAATATATATGTGTGTGTTACTGTATGTTGCCTAATTAAACTCTGCCTACTCACTAAGGGAATTATGGGTTAGTGAAGCATGCATGTGTAATAGTCAATAAAAGAAGTAAACAAAAGATATCCAGACTTAAAAGGTTAAATTATGTATAAAAAGGGAAAAAAAACACTTTGTATTTGGTTGAAATCACAATATTTGAGCTGGGAATAAGTGTTATAGACCTTTTATGGACAAACCCTTTCAAAACATGTTTAAATATTGTAATTTCACTCAACAGCCATCATATCGAGATCCTTAAATAACTTTGATTCTTGATTTTTATTTGGGTAGACTCCACTTGTGTGTGTATACATGGGAACAGTTAATAGTAGAAGAGGTAATATAATTCACTTAGCCCTCCACTTTTCTAAACTTCCTCCCCACAAATAAGCATTTCATTAATCCTGATACAACCGCTTCATACTGACTGAGTGCGTCTCACAATTAAAGCATTTATTTATTATGTCACCTAACCGTGCCAGATCTACTTGGACTCGTCCTTTGTTTTGATGTAAATGGAGAATTTAGTAGCACAACTGAAATCTTAAAGAGCCCAACTAGTAAAATATTTCCTCGCAGTGGCGTTGATGGTTTGTGTTGAGTTGATTAAATTGGAGGGGTAGCTGTTCTGTTTACAGATTAGAGAGAAAAATCGGGGCTACACAAAAG